TCGAGTCCCCAGCCGCCTTTTTTGCCTGTTTTACGGAAAAAGGAAAAAGCGGTGTCTGTCAAATCAGGGGCGCTTTCCGGTTATTTTCGTAAATCAGCTTGAAATGATCGGAATACAGAACAAATAAAAGACGCAAACGAGAGACCCACTCGAGTTATAGCTACAGTCGTCGTCATAGAGGCAGCGACAAAAAAGACAATCCCATCTTTGGCAATGGTGGCAAATATTTTTCGATTGACATGAGCATCGTTTGGTCACGTTGGCAATCTTGTGAATCCGGCAGATAGGCGGCATTAAATTTTAACTTCAGATTGGGAAAGCAGAATGCAAGTGAGGTTACCCGCTCCGTTTTTTTTTGTCTAAGATAAAAAGAAAGGAAAAGGCAAGAACTAAGGAAGGATAACAGCCGGTGCAGTTTAAAGCTATCCGACTCGTCTCATGTGGTATCGGTATGTTTTAGCAAATCAGCAGAGAGTACAGAAATTCAAAAACGATAGAAATAAGAGTTGCAGAAAATAGCAAGCTTCATAACGCTAAACGTAATTGCTTATTTTTAATTGCGTAATTCATTATTTATTTATTATCTATTTTTACTTTAAATTTTATCTATTTATACATAGTTCGTAAAGTAACTCATATATGAGGTGCTACTATTTGATTACGTAACCGTTCATTTGAGACTAGCGCATCAATTTCATCCCATATGAGCGGCCATTTTCCAAACTTTGCTCTAGGATTCGCCTAACTTCTGTAGCCATTACCATGCTTTCCTGCTATATTTTGCGAATCGGGGGCAACACACGATGGCATTATATTCTTCAAGCGGGCAACGGTGGAAACAGACTTCCTTGAAAGCCGCGCGCCGGCTATGCAGTCTCGCCATGTCAACCATGATCACAAGCGCAATCCGACCTCTAATTTCTATTTAAGCTAGTCTTTTTGCTACTAAAGCAACTTGCACGAGGGCAAGATCTCTGTTGCTTTTCGTTCTTTCTGCGTTGACATTTTAGTACTTAGCTCATGCCTCGACATCTGTCGTCTGTCGTTATCATCGTTGACATCCGTCTGATTCAGTGACACCCTTGCTGACACGGATGAGGAATCAGATTTTTTCACGTCCATCTATGCCGTCTGACAGCATTGGCTATTGTTGTCTCAACATCAGTGATAGCAGCTGCCATCTAAACAGTAACTTGCCACTAACGAAGCCTATTAAAAACACCCTCACGCTTACCTATTGCTGGAAGCTATTATAAAGCCGGCCAGCCAAAACTCCGCTAGCTGGTCAAATCATGTGAGCTCACTTCTCTTTTAATAGTCGGTATGACGATCGTCATAGCCGTTGTTGCCGCTGGTAGTCGAAAAGCAGTTAGCTCGTAAAGTATCAAGTCGTCCACCATTCCAGCTAGCATTTGTGCGGCGAGCGCTTGGCCCTGAGCCTTCATATCCCCTCTCAGTACTAACGAAAACGTATGGACAGACCAAAGCGACTCAGAAATACACCGAGATCTTGCCAGTAGCAGTAGTCCAGTGTTGAATAGCGACGACAACAACCAGTCGCTACCGTTTTGTCCTTTGCTTCTTATTTGCGATCCTCTTTATTCGTCCACTGCCTTTGTCCACCCCTTACACCTCTTTATTTCTTTTTTCTCGCACTATTCCCTTCTTTTGCCATTTTTCCCTCATATATATATATATATAAAGAGGGAAAGTGAGAGCAAAAGAGAGAGAGAGAAATTGTTTTTGATATGCGTCGAAGGTTGCATAGTAGTTATTGCCATTATAAACTGATGTCGACCGGTGTCCTAGACATCGCCTTTGTGGCTGGCCAGCATGAGGGGCACGGGGAGGGGTATGGGGGAGCAAAAAATATACGTAGGGAAATAACAAGCCGGCTTTTTTTTTAGATATATATCATAGTTTGCAAACTAAGAGATGGACAAGCGAACAGGTCAGTGAAATCAACAATCTTAGCTTTTCTCGTCTTCAAGCGACGGAGGGCGACTCCAATGTGTGCAAGTATCCTCGGCGTGGCTCAGCCTACCGAGACAATTTAAGCCAACTTTCTCACAAGCCGACACCGCCGTCGAGTACAAGATAGCTTAACGTAAAGAATGGAATAAACTCATCGGAACACGAGGGCAAAGGCGAATGGGATGCGAAGCAACTGAACACCAGCAGGGATCTCCTCAGTAAGTGAAGTAGAAGGTTGGTTGATTTGACTCCAGTGGCGCTATTGGTCCTTACCTTCGGTGTAACCGGAACCTCGAAACACAGCAAAGTCCTATATTGCACGATCGTTTCCTGCTCTCCTATAGCCATCTAACAAGCGAAAGGTCTAAGCAGCGAAATAAGTAACGCGCTAGAGAGTCGAGCTATCCGTCGAGCGGCGGCGAGAACCGTTTCAGGGCCTTCCATTAGCTGGCCGATATGGTTATCTGAATAAGGCTACCGTAAGAAACAGTAACACCGGGAGTCCTGTCTGGGTACGAGACTGGGACGTAGCAAGGATAGGCGTCCGCCGTATGCCGATGCATTCTACCTTTGACCCAGCTGTATGGATAAGGTGGAGAAAAAAAGATTTGATAGCTTGTACAAGCGATAACAATAAAGAGTAAAGCGCACACTAAATACATTGAGGCTCTTTCTTGGCAAGTACCGAGGTCATTACTCATATTGCCTCGCTGGCGCTAGATCTTCTTTACGAGTGGCCATTTTATCCGTTTTGCGGCTTTAGTATGTTGCATCGCGTCTAATATAACGTTAGTTATAGGGGCGAGCCACTATTATTGGATACGGTGCGACTATCAATGGCTTGTTACACTGCGGTCGACATAATCGCATTTGCAGGTCAGTTGTTGGGCTCGGAAGTACACATTCGGTGAAACTATCTAATGGTGTCCTGTAATTTTTACGGGCAAACGTAAGACTCTAGTAGCGCACGTCAAATATGGAGGCTGTTACAGTGAAGCTGTTATAATTTACCATATGAAATGTTCAGACAAATAATCCTATGGCTGTTCTTAGCAGGTTGTTGAACGAGATGGCCTTAGGTCGCTGCGTCGGCAAAGGAAAGCTACGTACGTAGAAATCAACTCTCAAGCGAAATTTGTTGTTTAGTTTTTTGTATAGTTCGTTTAGGACAATTAACCTAGTAATTAGTTAGTGAATAGTTTGTAGCGAGATAATATGGGCCAACACATATGGGCTAAAACAAGGCCACAGTTGTGCGAATAATCAGTGCCTTTGAGTCAATCAACTATCAGATTAGTCTAAAGTTTATCGCTCGATATGATATTCTACCGATATAGACACGATGGTAGAGAGTCAAACAGGATCAACGACGCTCAAAAGATTTGTCGCAATTGTATAACTATAATACGGTCACTCTGATAGTTGGTAATCGTCAACTAAACGCTATGAAAACGCACTCAGAAGCCGCTAGGCAGGATTTATATACAACAATTTAACTCATTCGTTAACTCATGCAGACGCTAGACCCGCATATGATGATATTCGTCTGAAATTCGAAAACAATTCCGAAATTAGCGAAACAGAGCAAACTCTCCACGGGACTCACTCAGAAATCACTGCTATTGAACAAAACCTTTCATTCTGTTCGTCTGCCCTTAGTCAGTTAGCTGAAATCTCTTAAATTTTTCGCCATTAGAAAACACCTTTAAGGAGAGAAAGGTCATACAATGAGAATGACGATGATGATCCACCCAGCGACCTGCCCACTCGACCGAGTCCGACCTTCTATTAGCTGGAGTAACATCAGTTTATGAAATCAGGCTCAGAGACTGAGTATCGAGGAATTACTTAAGCAACAAATAGCCCTTTCTTCAACCTATACCGCCTCTCGTTCTTTATGTCGCCCACTGCCGACGCTGCGGCCACCATCGACACGGTCTCCACTGCAGCGCTAGTTCCCAACGAATCGTTCGTCCTGGCTCGCTTGCAACCCTGCCTGTGACATCGGGGGAGCCACGTGGACGGACCAAAAGTAGCGTCAAGTGTAGGCATACTAGCAGCAGCCTCGATGTGAATACTGAGCGCGGCTCTCTAATCTAGATTGTCCGCTAACTTTCTAAAACGACTTTGGAAGACAGAGGACTGCCCAACAGAGTTGCACTGACTGTATGGCTGGCTGCTTGTGCTGGTTAGATGGGTTGAGCGGCGGTCTCAGAGAACAAAAATGGGTCTCGACAAAAGAACTTCATAACGACCTCGATTGAGCGACGCTCGACGGGGTGGACTGAAAAGACTCAATGATCTTTGATTAGGAGATCTCCAGTCAAAGGGGTAAGAAGTGAGCCAAGCCTAGCGGACCGCTGGAATCGAAGCGTCTGAGTAGAGGCCGACAATGTAGAGGCTGATAGCCTAAGTAGGACAAAGACTTGAAAAAGTAATAGGCCACGCGGTGTAATTGAGGAGTAAAGCACAGCTGCGGCGACAACACTGTATTAAGAGAAATCATACTATAATATGATAAGAATCGAGGGCAAGACGTACGAATAGGCTCCTCCGCGCTTGGTACAAGCTCTGTACCAAACGTCCTTCACATCTTTTAAATAATCCCGTGCTTCCAGGCCATTATTGTGGTAGCTAGCGCTATAAGAATGTCGGCACATATTCGTTGGCGCTGCCTGGTAGTTTCGTTTCACCGTATATATGCCCACAGACGCGAGTCCTAAATGTATGACAGACAGCGCGACCTCTTCGCGAAGCGAGAAGACACATTATTGCCATAGCAAATTTAACGGAATATGATAAATTCTCGGTTTTTATGTTCGCTAATATTTTTGCTTCCACAGTTTGTCTGATCAGCGAAGCGGGGAAATGTGTTTCGAAGAGAAACACATTTTTCTGCTTCAAGAGCAGGTCGAAATTCACAGATTACGTATATTTTTATGTATCTGTACTTTTTATCTTCGCCTTCCGCGCAACCACTAACTGAGTCAAATTTATCAATCCGTAAAAGTCGCACGATTGATTACCTCCCAGCCAAGTCCGTCATAGCCGATCCTCCGAACGTCAAGCAGACGATTTCCTTCTTCTTGGTCAGGAGTTTGACCTGGCATTACTTGGTAGGCCCGAACTTCGAGGAGTCCTTTGAACTTTCGATTCTTTGGTCGCAGCTTGTAAATGTGGAATTGAGCTTGCAGAAGTTCTTCAAGAGGGTCCGCACGGGATAAGTTGAAATAGAATCGCAGAGCAGTTGCTGGAACAATTAGGAAATAATGACAATGTTAACAAATAGTCATATGTGAAAAACTTCATATTAGAGCAACTACATGAATTGTTTCAACACAGCTAAGATCTACAATACATGGTTGGTGTACTCCATTGCGGTATATCTTTTTATGTATGTTTTTTGGTTATGCTGGAGTTTTATATCCACTAGTACACTCGGACTTTACAGAGGTGAATCTTACATGGAATAGAATAAACAGGGTGGATCAGCTTAATTCGTAGTCAAGCCTTAAGTAACGTCTAACGACTCGAATGCGGTACAAGCCATGAAAAATATTCCTGCGCGGTTGATTGCAGCACAGGTTTGTTCCTAAAACATTTTTGTCTCTTGGTTTTGTCCTATTTAGATCTTTTGTGTTCAGTATAAGCAGTGTTTAGCATTAGCTCCATGTTAATTGCCTGAGGCTGTGCGGTCAGCCTGACATGACGTAACTATCCTTGTAGTGAAGGGTCTAGGAATTACCCCGAAACGTGATTCTGATCTCTACATGAAGTAGATAATTACGTTAGCTCAATTAGTACTAGTCTTATCCTTAGATGTGTTCTAATTAAAGATTTCGCATTGCGTATATTTTTATACGAGTATTCACGAAGGTCTTCCTTTTGATAAAATTCTACGTTGCTTAGAAGTTTGGCGGTTTTATATTGGCGCTGTCGAACGCTAGAGTTTATGGATTTACAGATTAAAAGTTACCCCACGAACCTATGCCGGCCCGACTCGACGAACAACGGAATTGCAGGTGACCCGAACCAACACACTAAATTTTTTCACGGTTGTTTATATACACTCGAATGATGTTGCTTCTGCGAAAATTGACACAGAGAACTACTGCTAATGTTACCATTATTTAAACTGCTAAAATGTCGTCAACGTATCAGTCACCTGTCTCTGTTAATGCGTTAAAAGTGATTTTCACTAACAACAACGACAGTGTTTATTACAGATACAAACAGCGCAAACAATAATAAGCGGTGCGATAAAACCTCACACACAAATGGAGCTACTTCAATTCACAGGGCAGCAGCAGGAGATAGACGCGATCTGGTCGCTGCCCTTAGGCTTCATCTGAATTACGTAGCCCTTGTCATCCTTCCATTTCGTGTCACCGACATTCTTTTGGCCGGCGGCACCTGCTAAGGACTCGTTCGGTGAGCTTAGGTAACTTGCTATGGTTGAAGATATTCCAACATCGTCTCGCTCTGTGTGTCTATTATTTTCGGAGCTCGAAACAAATAAAAAGATCGATGATCTCGAAGAAATCCCTTCTCGCACAAGTGCCTCGTCACGTCGGAAAATGTATGGACCCTAGTTATTAGTCAGTATTTATTTTGTGTTTATCTATCTTTTGTTTTTGTTGCCTAAAAACAAATATGATCAGTAGTTTCCTTATGCTACTTATTTTTTTTTTTTTTTTTTTAGTTTATGCTTAGGATGCGCATCATTGCCTTGTCGTTCGCTTAAGCAATCTGTGGGTGTGTCAATAACGTATTTACCGTAACAAGTTCGATACCCCATTTACCTACTCATGTTATGCATAGTTATTATGTGTCATATGTATTTATAAATATATAAAAGCTAATGTTTTATACAGTAATGGCACAGAAGGTAAAATATGATTTGAGAACATTCTGACTTAAAACCAGTTGGAATCGACGGTGATATTGACCGTAATTGGATGCGATTCGGTCCCTAAACTGAAACCGTTTCGCTAGGGCCTATTTCTCATGTATACGTTGCCTAATTGAAGCAGGAAGTCAGACAGAGAGGCCCATACATAAAAACTCCATGCGTCTATCTGTTGTCGTTATAATTCTGTAGAGGAAATCTCTTTTTCATAGAGAGAAAAAAAGAAATTGCAAACTAAATGCAAAGGATTATCCCATCCATTCGCTTCGATTTAGGAAGACAGCCACCTGCAGCAGTCACCAGATGCAGAACAACTCCGTAAAGACCGGAAAGCCGACTCTGGTAAACATACAGGAAGACTCCTTAAAAGATACGAGTTGATTTATAATTATACTAATGATCCACGGCGTTCGATGTACCCGATAGACACTTTCATATTCGAATATAATTAACACATATCGGCGATTTTTGTCTTGCGATAGTTGCGCAGAACCGGACATCTGTTTAAAGTACATATAGAACACAAAATTGCACGTGAAGAGAACCTATACCGTGCTCTGTTGACCACAGCATCTGGGTTTCTGTTACTTGTCATTGGTTCTACCCACCTGTCTCTTACAGGTGTTCCACAGACTTTCATGTAATTTTTTTTTGTAGTAATTTCACCAAGAAGAAACGATGGGAGCTCTTCCTATAGGCTAAGGTGGTCCACGACCTACTGTCTTCAACTCTATCACCCCTTGAAATCTCTTTGAACAGCACAAACCTTAAAAACGATGCAAATTTATTTAGACTTATTTTTTACTCGGTATACTGAAAATCTATTTTAGTGTTTCCCTAAAAACGAAGCACGTGTTTGTTTTAATTGATCCCCTATTTGGGGGTTTAAACACCTACGCAGTGTGACACACTCTCACATTGGTAGTTTTCAGCTAACACAAGTCCATTGCGTTGCTGTAGTACATCATTATTTTCGTCGGCACGCCCTCCGTGGACGAAAGCGAAAGCGGCAGGGGAAATGCATTTGCTTAACGTTCCGTTCTGACCGCTGCTGGTCCCCTCGAAGCGATTCAGGTTGAAAGCCTCGCTTGGGAGAGGAAGCGAGATTGCGCCATTAACTGAAGTGAAATGTACATTTCTTTATCTAGCAACCTCGCGCCGACGCCCGCCGGTCCCCTAACTGACTTTTACATGACCAGACTTGGTCTTTTGCAGAAAAAAAAGAAAACAAAAACACAACGCTAGAAACAGCCGCGTACGTCTCTATATATTTCTTACTTGCTAGTCGTTTATGAGGCAAATTTCCACGAACAGTTCTCACATCGGCAACAACGCTCGTCGCAAAATCAAATTCCCGCTGTCTTAACCACTAGCTTGCTCTATTTCAAGTAAATCATATTTGAGCGATTCTTCTAAAGACAAACCTTGCTGACGTTCCACCGTGGCACAATCTGGTTGGGCAGGTTCAAAATACAGGGGGCTATATTATGGGCATTTCGTCCTTCTAACCTCTGAGTGGTTTTAGGTGTATCTCTGATCGTAATGGTTTCGTTTGCTTTTCTTGTAAAAACACGCTATTTCGACTATTACTAAGCGGAATCGACTTGCAATCGCGATCAGGCCTGCCGTTATTCAATGACAGTAGGACACGAGCCATCCGCCAAATTCGGGTCGGACGTATTGAATGATTATAACGCAAGCGCCAAATAAGCAAGCCAAATTATAGATTAACGGTACATCAGACACACGATCGACATTAGTTAGCAGTATCTCTATATGTATTGAAACTAAGATGCGACTGATTCTTGAAATACTATTATTTTACAGAAAAGAAGAATGGAAAGAAATAAAAATACGTCGTATGCTTGTCTATCTGCATATATGTATATGAGCACCTCTACCATTAGTCATTATGGAATAGATCAACCGTATATACTGTAGTGATATAAAAATCAAATATTAATATAATTATCTCTAAATATCATAGAGATGCTGTAAAATTAGTACTGAGTTTACGAACGTCCAGACATGAATGCAGGTTATAAACCTATCCAAAAAATTGAGAATAACTTCTCAAGTTGATGTTTTTCCTCGTATACTGCATCCGCGTATACGTTTAGTTGAATCATTCAAAACGCCACTCACGTCATACGGAATCAAGCGTACCCTGTGATTATTATCATCACACACTATGTAAGCGTACGGATACATTTTGTAAATGTTAATGTTGTTGCTGTTTTTATTGCTGATCTGATAATTTCGACGCCTTCACTCAATCAACGTTCACGAGAGATCGTACAGATCTTGCACAAAATGATAACAAACGTGTCGCTGCGCCTGTCGACCGTACAAATATGATATAAGCTGAATTTAATTACGCACCTTCCATTCCCTTACGCTGCCTCTAGTCGACCAGCATCGCACAGCGATATGACGAAGAAGATTTAAGCTGTAGGACGCTGGGACCATATCGAAGCGTCGAAGGATGGATGGGCCTATTTGTGAGGATCTGTAGGAAACCTGAGCCAAGCGGCTTTTATAAGCCAAGAAGCTTGCAAACAAATCTACAAAGTTAGCTCCGGTAAAGTCACAGGCTTTACTACAGACCTAGCTTGTAGGCTAGCAAATTTAGTACGCATGCATACAGAAGGTACAGTTGGGACGCTGTTACTGCTGCAAATGAACCAGTAGGATCGTTTTTTCTTCCGAGAAAAAGCAAAAACAGCCTACGCAGTTTATTATATAGAGGTCGCGTGCTCGTATACATTTCGAAAAGTGGATATTTTTCGTGGCGCAGGCACGAATGAATACAATCAGTGATCACTACTGCCTGATAGTCGAACGCCTCGTCAATGTCTCCACGCAACGATTAGCTTTAGTGTTTATCTAACTCTATTGTCCCGATAGTTAGCTCAGACGGTCAACCCGACGCATAATGCTGATTAATGGTTCTATGACTTTGCATCCTGCCGGCCTTATCTCATTGTGAGTCCTCCCAGAGCAATCCGGACCGATTGCATTGAGCTCCACCTGTTTCTCTTGCGATCTCGCACTCTCTGCTACTTATTGTCAATCTACAGATTTACTTCCTAATCCGAAATGTGCACGATTACGTTTCCTGCTGCTGTTCGCTTGACTGTACGTGTGATCGTGTGGGCCTATGTACCTCGAATCGGTTGAAGTGACAGCTGTCCTGTGCTGCGGCGGCGGCCCTATCTCTGCCGATGGTACCATCTGATAGACAAAGAACGCATGATCTAGACTGCGATCGGCGAGAGCGGACGCAAGCTCCCGAAAGTGTGTTGACGATCAACAGTGCCTGCGGAATTGCAACGATGTCA